ACCGTTAGCCTACAGCGTTCTTTTGAGTAGTCTAATATTGAGTTCTTTGATGATTTTTTGTACTTATGGTTGTTATTGATGAAAAACATACTTCTCACTTATTGTACCATAGGATAGCCGATTTGAACGTTAGTTTAAGAAATTTCATTAAGATTCTGGAAGCATACGTATTTTCTTATGTACAGTTCAAAATTATAATCACTTAATTCTATATACATTTCATCGTTCGACTCAACAGCAATGTCATCATCCGAATGCAGAGTAGTTTCGACATCGGAGTCCATACTGTCGTCGAAGTGTGACTCTTCCTCAGCTTGTACCTCAGCATTGAGGCATGAAAGACCCATACACCCGGAGCGTAAATTGGAACATTTCAGTCCTGTAGCACAGAGAAGAAAGAGAAATGAGTACGTATCTCTGAATTTCAGAACCTCGAAGAGAACTGAACAGAAATCGGTGCTTAGTCTTCTATCAGGACGCACTTGCTTTGCTGTACGAACATGCAGATAAGCATCCTTTTTGACAAGCGCATGAAATTAAATTCAGCAACTCGTCAGGAGTAGTTAGGCGCAGCGGTCATCGGTGTAGGCAGAAGTTCTGCACTGTGTATGTGCCAACCCCATCCGATCGGAGAGAAATTGTTTCCTCTCCATTTTTGCACCTGATGACAGCATCGGTAGGCGTGGAGACTGAGTGCAGCGTTTTTTTTCGACCGCCTTATGGAACGAACCGATGACGATCGAAATGTCTGCTTGCCTGACACAATATTTGACTCCGCTGACGTAGCTAAAGTAATTCGTGTTGAAATAGTGTATACTGCGGGTAGACTGGCGAAAAACTCGATATTAGACTACTCAAAAGAACGCTGTAGGCTAACGGTTAGGTCTAGGCTAACTTGCAAATAAGCTATCGTGTAGGAAATTTTACGAAGAACATTTTTTGTTTCAAAAGTTTTTCTCTAAGCCTGCTACATTTCGAAAAACTGATTTCGGTGGGCAAAAACGTGCCACAGCACGACGAGCGGCGCAGTTGGGGATCTGGACTTTTAGTACGTTATTCGGGACACCTAACCTGAGACATTTCAACAAAGTCCAGCTTTCCCTCCCAAAATGTTCAGATTGACGTTTTTTGTGTACTTATCGCCTGTGCTACATGTCTACTTTTAAATGACAAAATCTCTTCTGAAGGACGCCTAATTTTATACAACCAAAGTAGCTTCTTAAAACAAATAAAGATCTGGCTGTCTCATTAATTAATTTGTATATTGTTGATGCAGGAAATGAAGCGCCCTTCAGAAGGATTTTGTCTTTTAAAAGTAGGCATAGGGTAAAAACACATGTAAATCCCCTCGTAAATCCCTATGTCTACCTCTTAATAAATATCACTGTATATCTACTCCATAGGAGCCTTAAGGATCAATAAAGTACTCTTAAAAATTCCTCTTGATGACTTTGTTGACGACACTTGAAATCTTTTGAAGGTTCTTGAATACCACTAAAGATCCTTAAATGCTATTAAATATCCTAAAAAACTGCACCACAAGTTGGAAAACTCTAGAAAAACCTTGAACACTTCAAGCTCGACAATCAAGGCTATTAAACGAGGAAAATTTGGGTTCCTGGCAAAAATGAAAACGTGTGAAATCTTAAAAAGTCCTACATTAATTCGTTTCCTACATTTCGATATTCCAAATCACACATTTTTAGGTATAGTGCTTTTGCAGCCACTATATCTGTCCCTTTGTCCATATATAGATTCATTGAAAGCGATCAAGAGATTCAGTTTAAAAAGAAAAAGCCTAAAATGCCCACGGAAGTTCTAGAAATGCGGCAAAATGCTCTGAATTTGAACATTCAAGTCTATGTAGTGCTCTCTCTTACGCGTAATAGAAACTTACCTCAGGTGGTTTCATGTTCAGTACTTTCGTAATACGTCCCTGCATGATCAAAAAATGGGGGTTATTAACGTTTAACTGTACGGAACAGAACAAGTCTTGTATTCGTTTGTTTTGCACCACAGATCCGTTTAACAAATATTTATTCTTGCCACCCATAGCCACCTGTCGACTGATCGTTATCTCCTCATAATCCTCAAAACCGGGCGGACTTTGTTGCGAGTTACGGTTGTCGAACGTTATCGATACTGTCGCTTTTGTCACTCCGGCTTGGCCAGATCGATAAATTAAATCTTGTAGGTTTCCCGCTCTCACCTGAAAATAATTGAGGTTAATTTTGCGCCAACTGGCTGTGAAGTCTACCTGACTTAAGTTTGAAATGCCCAGTACAAAGCATATCGAATCTAAAATGTTGGATTTACCAGTACCGTTTAAGCCAGTGATCGCATTGAACTCTCGATCAAATCCGTGTATTTCGGTACGTTGGCCGTAAGATTTGAAACCGTCCAGCACAATCGATTTTATGTACATTTTGTAAATTAAACTTCAATCCCTTTCAGATGATTTGCACACACAATTTGAGAGAATAAATACTGAAAATAGTGTACAAATATCATCAATGACCGTTGTAAACACTTTTGAAATGATTTCATCATTGCCAACTAAATGTAAATACAAATACAATAGTAATAGGTATACCAACATCTAAATAGAAAAGTTGCCTAAAGAACAATGAATGCAGAGGAGTATGTAAGGTTGCCTATTCACAACTGCAATACGCAGAATATGAAATTTGCCACATTCCATTTCCTACATCTTTTGGTCCTTGCTTCTTTATTAGCGATCAATGAAAGAATAATTATAATTTTAATCCAGAATGCGTCTACGCATTCTTCAGGTTTATCGTTTATATATGTTTTGGATTCCATGATTCCTTGGATATAGTTACGAATTTTTAATGCATATTTGGTGATTACAGTACAAGACACACGTTTTACATTTCATGCTTCATGGTATTTTAATGAAAAGTCTCATCGAAAAGAATTGGTTTCTACAAAGCCCAAAGTCCCTCGCGACTCGACTGCCCAAAGTCCCACGCGACTCGACTTTTCGAGATCAGGGGGTAGGGGAGTTAAATATTGACAGTGGCCTTCATGGTATTAATTAAAGGTCTCAACAAACGAAATTAATATTTCTGTCAACCACACAGTCCTCCTCCTCGACCTCCTATATCGCATGATCTGTTATACTTCCTTATACCTCAAAAATGAATAAGATTACTCACAAAGTGAAACTGGGGCCTCTTTTAAATATAGCCGTTGGTGATGCCAAAACTTTTAAAAACTAATATTTCAAAAACGGTGTGTCGGAAGAGAATACTCGCTACTCAGTACCCACAAAAGCAAAATAAATCTTCTGGACGAGACATGTGTCATGAAAATGTTAAAAATAAATTTACATTATTATTGTAAAGTATTTTTAAAGCTCTTCAATAACGTTCCGATGAATGTTCAAAAAATGTTCACTTGTTAACAATCTAATGAACGCTTTCTAAGAACGTTGTGTGAACAACAATACTTGTAGTATTTGGACATTAAAAGAACGTTTCAGGAACGTCATAGTACATTGACCAGACCAGTCTTCAGAATGTATCAATTACCCACCTGCAAAAGTTCTGCGCTTGCGCCTGGAATGTATTATACCAATCGTACCCTACGCGGATTGAAAAAAATTCAAAAGGGTCGCGAGATATACAGTGTGTTTAAGATAAGGGAATGCACAGCATAAGTAAAACGGGCACCACTAAGGAATATACACAGTCGGTTAAATTAGAAAGAAGTTATTGCGTACCTGTTTTGGGGCTTAGTAAAATGTTTTAAAAATTGGGAAATTCCGATCAGTTCTAAAGATATTCGAAAAAAAAAACCGAAATTAACCATATATTCGTTTTTTTCTGACCCTGTTTGAAAAGATATCAAAAACAAATAACTCTTCCTCTGGAACCTTTTAAGCTCCACCAGAGGGTGCCCACAGATTTTTACTGCGACGTTTTGTCTTTGAGAATCCATCATCAATTTCATATATTTTTATATGGACCGGAAAAAAGTACATACTTACATATACTTACTGTGTATTGATTAGCACCACAGTGTACCTATATGGAATCACTTATGGACGGTTAAGCTCCACCCCCTCATGATGTGATGTCACTCAACTACCTTCCTTTCAGTTCTCCAATCTGCCTCCTTTCAAAGGATAACGACTGCAGAAGACGCTTTGTGACTCATATTGCACTCATTTAAGAAACTTGGATTGTTCAGTTTCGTTTTCCTTCAGGTTTGGGAGATATCTAATTAGCCTTGTAATTTTTTCCAAAAAGAAGGAGCAATAAGTTGCTTCCGGACTCCAATGACTTTTCAATTCACTTTTAGGCGAATTTCCAGCCAACTTTTGAAAAAATCATTCTCAGCAATTATTAATTTTTTGTCTTTTGCCCCAAATGTTATCAAGTGAATGGCAAAGTAGACATTGCCACTTACAAAACTGTAAAAATTACATTTCCATTTTAAGTACTTACATTTAAGAAAAACAAGACGCATAAATTAAAACTATAATCAAAAGCTATAAAGAGAAGATGAACAGTTATTTTCTAACCGATTATATGAAGTACAACAGAATACAATAGCAACAAATGTATAACATTATGAATTAAAAACAATATCGATTACGCCGCGTATATAAAACAATTGAAAACATACTTGCTTGATGAATTATTGCAGTCTTTAGATACAGATTAACTACCCTTAATTCTGATAAAGTAAGTATTCTTTTAACATTTTTGGTAAAGGCAAAGCCGATACTCCCTTTGTTGTAATGTGCTGTAAAATGGCATCTCTACATGCCGATTGCAGTGTTGGTACTAAAAATAGAATAATTAAAAGTGATCCAAGAACACCCCGATGGTTACCTCCGTAAAGTTGAATAATTCTAACTTTTTTTGTAGTTCCATACACGTCCACAACAACATGAAGAGGTGCATCACTATAAGGTATATGCTTAACACAAGCGCCTAAGTCTTCACCGTTAATGATGTAATGCATATTGGCTTCGTGCTCGTTTATCGGAATATACATTACACCTATTTTACTACCCGTATCGGTAGGTAGAATATCACTGGAATGCTTGATGGGTTTCAAAACGTGCAGCGGTACGGTTCCTCTACATGTTCGGATTACGCCGTTATAGTTGCTCAACCTTCTATGACCACATTTTCCGTGCTTCCTTTCGTGCTCGCATTCGTACGAGTGATTGTGTGCCTTGGTTATGCCGTATATCCACGAGGTACCCTTACTCGCCAGGTCGGGTAACGCATATTGAGGAACGCCCGTTTGAAAAATCGTATACGGATCTAATTGAGTTAAACCTAGCCTCATATGCCCGCTCCATCCGCGCTCATTCTGATCAATCTCCAGTAGGAATATTTCTCCCGGCTGAAGGGGTTTTTCGCTAAAAGTTAAAGCGTTGGCGAAGCTTGTTTTACGATATGCTACTGTGTTGTCTTCTGATAATATGATGTTTTCACCGTGGTACGGATGAAACCTTGTTAGATGAGTTCTTGTATTCGACATATTTTCCTTATCTTTTTGTATGAATAAACTTGCCATCTGCAATTGGTTTTTCTGTAATTTCTCAATTAAAAGTTTCTTTTAGACTTACACATTGTTGCACCAACAACATAATTTTACTTTAATCTGCGAGAAAACCACTCATTTTTGTCTTAATAGTTTATGTTTACTTATTTTATTTATTTATTTACATGTAAACAGGGAAAGAAGAAGTAGTGGTAAAATCCCTACAGTATTCATTTAACCTAACATTTAAAGAGAGTCCTACAAACCAACACTTTTTAAAATATGGTGTAGGTAAGCAATTAAGTGATTAAAATTATTCATTTGTAATCGGAAAGTGCACAAACTCTTATTATGTAAATAATGAAGTAATTTAAATGTGTAACGTGCATCCTATAAAATAATTTGTTCGTTACTTCGTTAAACTTATATATAGGGTAAGTCAAAAGTATATAGTCAACCGATTACTCATCAGAAAAACCCCAGTTGAAAATATGACTCATTTAAATTATACGGTTATTAAATTTATAGATAGTTATAAATTCAATGATACAGTTTACGTTTTGACCATAGACATATGCTTACTCTCATATGTCTATGGTTTTGGCACCGCGTATTGTAAAGAGACTCAATTAATCTATGCCTATAATATAAGTATAATGAAATGAAGGTAAAGGAATTAATTAAACAGTGTGTCCACGGGTTGACTTCACTATACATGTAATTGATCATATCTCGTTTTGAAGAATGAGAATTGAAGAATTTTAAAGCACATTTTTACTTTTTAAAATCCAAGATGGCCGTCATAAATGAGAAAAAAAATAGTTGTATGTTCAGGTAAAGGCCATTTCGGTCAATAATACGGCAAAAGTTGTTTAGAATTATGTCCATATGAGATTTCCCAAATATCGGATCACTTTGATTAAATCAGTATTTGATTTGTAGTCTTGCACAACAACCTCAAAAACAAGTATTCTGTGTACCTAAATAAAACAAATGAATTATTATTAACTGTCATTAAGATTAAAGTGACACCTAAAACAATCTGTTGAAATGAATTATCTTTTATTGTTAAAGCGCAAAACTATAAATCAAATACCTCGTCAAATACTGATAGTTATAATCAAAGTGATCCGATATTTATTGCATACTAGCTGACCCGACGGACGTTGTCCTCTTTCCTCGCTATGCATACCTAATCAATTTGCACTGGAAAAATTATTTCAAGAAATTTGCTGTGACTAGCGCAGGTACCACCCGCCCCACCTGCGCATACGCGATTCTGCCCTTTTATGTCTAAAATATGTGTACCAAATTTGGTTTCAATCGGTTCAACCGTTTAGCCGGAAAAGAGATATTGACACACTTGCCCCAAAATCTCCCCATCTCTCCCCAGAATAATAACAAATAAACGCACTCACTTCTACGTTGCTTGCGCCAAATGCCGTAATTTGAAAGCAATTGTTGTATTTCTGGATATGAGTAAAAAAATGTATAGAATCTGACCCATTTCCAGAAACCAAGAAATGCTCTGGTGGCGGTACCAATGGCGTAAATTTCGCTTGGCCACTGGCGCAACATAATCCCGGGGCTTCAGTTTTAAACTTAAAAGCCTTGCAATGTGGACACACAAAGTTCTTTGGTCTAATAGCAACGATTTACTGTAAACTGTAATCGATTGTTACGTTGTAATTAAATGCAGCTCGATAGGGATTAAAGGGGACATTTCTGCTCGTCAGTTTGACTTACCGGGTGGTGCACGGTATACCCGCAAATTTAAAAATAAGTTTGAACATTTCTGTTATTAGTAGCAATAGCCATGATTTTTTTTGTTTTATGAAAATACTAATAACAGAAATGTTGAAATTTATTTTTAAATTTGCGGGTATACCAAAAGCTTAATAAAACATGTAAAACCAGTTTTAATTCTGAACAACTTTAAACTCTACAGTTTTTTCTGTAAAATGTACAGGAGGGCAGGATATTGCATAAAACTAATTTCCCATGTTCAATCCCTATGTTCCTACTTACCGTGCACCATCCGGTATGTTTGACTTGTAGGAATGGTACCATGTTGGTACGTCTAATTAGTAGCATCTACAAAAAACTTAAATTCAACTGAAAATAGAAATTAACTCCCTAGTGTTTCTGTATAACTATGTATACCACGTGTTTAGTCTATCAACACTTACCAAAAATGGATATTAGGTATATCTAACTTTTAATATAAAAGGCGTGATTGCGGTGAAATAACATCGACATTTCTCAAAAAACTCTCTGAAATCTGGATAAACTTCCCGATCGAATTGACAGCACACAAATTAATTTTTTGACGGATATATGCCGATCGATGTAGCTGTTAAAACAATTGCTGCCGCACCGTCAAACGCGCGATGTTTAAATAGTCGTTAAGTTTTCTCGAATTTTCCAATTTTCTGCGCGATTTTCTTAGTTTTTCTTGCCGTAAGAACCTTCTACACAGTATTAGAAAACTTAAAAAAAAAAGATGAATGAAATCGGTAAAGTCGTTCTAAAGTTATTGCGTGACCAGAAGAAACAGGGGTTCATTTTTGTATATAGAGATAAGGACATAATTTCATATTCTAAATAATTTTTCTTAATGTCAGTTTTCCGTTAGGTTTTCCGTGTTATTGACCGAAGCGGTATTTTACCTCAAGATAATAGTATATTATATTATGAGGAGCTAAAGTGATACTTTTTATGGCGAGTCAGTGTTTGATGGCCGAGCGAAGCGAGGCCAGCAAAATACTGACGAGCCATAAGAAGTTACTTTAGCTCCGCATAATATATGCTATTTTTTCTTCAAACATGAGAATAACGCCCAAATAATGGTTTCCAAATCGGAAGAAATATTAACCCGATCGTTATGGGTAGCCGTGAGCGCGTCGGCCGTGGTGACTATAACAATTGCTATAGTTGGCCATTATTAGTTTTGACGTTTTAATTGTGGACGAGTTTTTCGATTTCAAATAAAAATGAAATTGCACAAAAAATACTTTCGACAACTTTAGAAAATCCAGGTTTATCAGATGGAATGACTTCAACTACTCCTTCATTTGAAGCAGAAACCAATCCAGTTTTTTGAAAATACTTCATTCATTCATTAGAAATAAGACGAGCCAAACAAAACTTGACTCTTCAAAACTTGGATGCTGCAGGAACGAAGGTTTAATTTCAATAATGGTACTTTCAACATTAACTATTATTTAAATAAATAAATAGCTTCTTTGATCGACTATATTTTTATTTCTGTTAAAATCAGAAGGAAAGATCAACGCACTTGCTAGGTGAACCAAGAACCTAATGTAAATAACATCAACTTGTCAAAGCAATACAATGTGACACTGGCACTGAAGCGTTTTATTGCCTAGGCACTAAAATACTTCACTGCCGCTTGTTCGATTGTTCTAAAAAGTCAAACTTTAACTCAGAGTGCTGGGCTACGTAATGTCAATATTATATGACGTTTGAAGAAAAAATTGTTTTTTTTTTCTCATTTGACGCGGCCATATCTTGGGTTTTAAAAAGTAAAAGTGTGCTTAAAATTCTTTTCAGACCAAGTAGGCCGGGATTCCAAAACATCAATACGAGATTCAAAAATGTTTGTTAAATTACGCACCATTACTCAATTCGGGGACACACAGTATATAAGTCCAGGAAAATGGCAAAAACGATGGGGATGGGGATGGCCATTTTCTGAGACAACCCGCTCCTTGAAATCGGAGAATTACTAGCAATGTGTTAAAAAATGAGTTAAAGTAGGGCTATTGAATGTTTGCCAGTATAGCTACTAACTATGCATGTATACCACAGCTGACTCGTCCGTAAGCTTAGTCCATAAGCTCGTCCTCCATTTTGGAGCCCACTGCCAATTAACCTCGCAATTAACCCATACAAAACGTTTCTTGCATGTATTGCGTTATCATTTAAAGAAAAACTATTGATTTTTTGAAACGTTATTATTAGCTATTGCATAAAGGTATTTGAGAAAGATTTTACACATTAACCAGATTTTCTGTGCACAGATTTGGACTGTCCCTTGACTCCAAAATGGCAGACGAGTCTGCTACCTTAATCAAGTAGGTACTGTATTTGCCGCATGACGTCACGTATGGATTTACAGTAGACTCGTCTGCCATTTCTTTCTCAAATGATTGTGTAAACCCAATTTGTAGGTTTCTATTATAAGTTATTTTAATTTTTTTTATTGTTTTATTTATTTTAATTATTTTGTCGCATAAATATAATTATTTAGATTTAATCTGTTATTTTTGGGTCACCAACTTAGTAAAGTATGACGGCGACATAATTATGATGCCGAGGGGCACACAGATTCTTTTTTTTAATCCTATTTATTTTTATAATTTTCATGTTCTTCAAGCAATCACCATTTTGTTAATATACTTAAGGCTCCTCTGTAGTCAATCCGCCATATTGGAAAAATAGCTAAACTTTCTTATGAAATGCTGCTTTTGTAGTTGAAGTCTAACAAATTCTCGGTAGTGGATATTCTTTGCAATGATGAAAAGAACGGCGGTACTTAAAAAAAATTGAAATATCGGTCTTAGTTTTTTAGGAAGATCGATGAATAGAAAAATCGTTTTTTGTAGATAACAGCCGATGTAATGAGGGTAGAAAAACGTGCAGCACCAATTTGGAAATCCGACAGTATTTATTACGGCCGTACTTAAAGATATTATTTCCATCTATTATGATATTTTAAAAAATGTTTCGCGATCTTCAGAAAGAAATCAAAACGCTAACGTAAAGATAGGCAACTCAAATTGCACTTATAACGCCTGAGGCGACAACTCATTACTTGAAAGGGAAAACAAAAGAAACTACCTGGCATTACCCTACACATTGTTTACGCCGTTCCTAATGGTACGGATTAGATAAATTACAATTTATTATTTATTTATTTGAATGCTGTTGATTTGTAAATCATAATGTCACATATTCCCGAGACGAAAAATGGATATCCTAATTATAGGTAAATTGGAAATAATGTTTTCTTTCTAAAACCTTTTGCATCCCACCAGGATGCTTCAAGAAATAAAAAAAGCCCTATAATGAGGCTGTAATAATATTTCCCTTTGACGGGGCGGGGAGTACGTACAATACTAGGTACTTCACATATTATATCATAAGTAGTGCTGAATATGAACTCTGTTTTATAACAATGCTTTCAAACTACCAGAAGCGTAGCACTTGGTTTAGTTAGATCAAATCAAATATGACTAAATTACACGTTTGTGTATATTTCCCATCTAAAATTATCAGTTTCCTCAAATAGTCCAGCATGCGGAGCAGTCAGAAGGGCCGATTCCTGCAAAATGTGGTGTAAACGAT